TCTGGGTGAGGGGCTGAGGGCTGTTTTCAGGATGGCGAGTGACGGAAGCTCCCAACCGCTCCTTTTTTTCTTTTTTTATTCTGGGCCAGCTTTACCTCTGAGGCTCCAGCTCTTAGGCCTCCGCTCCTGAAAGCAGGTATCTGGTTTGTTTCGGTTCTATAATCGAAACAATATATAACTCCAGCTCTGAGACCCTGGCTCGCTGAAAGCAGGTTTCTGGGGTTTTGTTTAGCTTCTATATTTGTTACGTTTCAAACTGCAGGCTCAGAGGCCGGCAGCGGCAGGCGGGGAACGTTGGTTTCCTCCGTCACTGAAGCAAGCAAGCCTCATGTTAGTTTCAAGCTGCCTGGCTGCCTGCCGCCATCTTGGCTGGCAGTTAATTTGCATATCGCACTGATTAGCCAATGGGAAGGGTAGCGGTTGTATGCTAATTACCATTATTTTCTATACTGAATATTTCATTGTATCAACATGCCATGTTTTGTTTACCCATTCATTAGGACTCTTTCCACTTTTTGGCTATTATGAAGAATGTTATGAATATCAATATATGCTTTTGTGTGGGCCTAATGTTTTCAGTTAGGGAGGCATGGATGAGGCAGCCCATTGGTGCTTTTCTCTCGATATTCCTATCTCTCTCTCCATCTCTGTTGGAGACCGGGTATAAGCTGACATGGTCCTTGCACCTGAAGGGGCTAGCAAGGCTGGGACCCTTACCCACACAGTTTTCCCAGACTTGTTTGGATGGTAGTTATCAGTAGAATGAGAGCAACCTTTGTAGAATGAGAACAGCCTTTCATGGCTTATCAAGAAGTCAGTAACTATTTACTGAGATTTGCTGTACCTAGAATTTGTCCTTCCACTCTATCTCTCCCTTAGAGATTAAGAGGAACAAAGAATACATTCCTCTTGACAGAACTCCTATTCAGTGTTTTGTGTATAAAAGGCATTGCGTGGTTAATAAACTTACTGCAGTTCCTCGATTGAGCTGCAGTCCTCCCGATCCCACTCTCCTGTCTTTCTTTCTTTTCTCAATTCCCACCTCCCTACCTCAGCCCAGTTCAACCTGTCAGGCTGGCCCTGACACATCTCCCTTCTTTTCTCTCTGAAAATCAATAAAAACATATTAATAGAAAAAATAAAAAAAGAAAGAAACCACTACCTTAAACAAGGTTGTGAATTTTTAGCTCCTATATTTAGGTCATTGCTCCAGTTATTTGTATATACAGTGTAGAACAGGGATATTTATTAGAGGCCCAGTCCACGAAATTGATGCACGGGGGGGGGGGAGGTATTTGCTCATCCCGGCCTGCACCCTCCCGCAGTCCGGTAGACATCAGGGGATGTCTGACTGATGGCTTAGGCCTGCTCCCCACCCCCACCTGCCTCCCCAGTCAGACATCCTTAGCACTGCGGCGGAGGCGGGAAAGGCTCCCATCACCAGCCCTGTGCTCACCAGGCTCACCAGTTGTGAGCCATGCTTCTGGTGCACTGACCACCAGGGGGCAGCTCCTGAGTTGAGTGTCTGCCCCCTGGTGGTCAGTGTGTGTCATAGCAATTGGTCATTAAGCCATTCAGTTGGTTTGCATATTAGCCTTTTATTACATAAGTTTTTTTGTGTGTGTTTTTTTTAACAAGTTAGAGTCAAGTTTTATTTTGAAGGAGAAATAAATATGACTGGGTAATGACTTGATGCCTGGGGGCAGGATAAGAATGTTGAGTGTCTTCTTTCCATTTCTTGTGGATGGTGATACATGGTATTTTTAAATTATTGCAAAACTTGCGTCCAAATCACATTATTCACCAATTTTTCACCTACAATGTAACATTTAGTAATTGTAGACAATATGGTTCTAAAAATAAAAAAAATTGGGAATTCTATCTAATGATAATATAAATTCAATAATAATAATTTTAAAAATCTCAAAAATAGGTAAGAATTAGCAGGTTTGGCTCAGGGATACAGCATCAGCCTGTGCACTGGAGTTCCAGGTTTGATTCTGTTCAAGGGCACAAGCCCGGGTTGCAGTCCTCAGCAGGAGGAGCCGATCAATGATTCTCATTGATGTTTCTCTCTCTCTCTTCCTTCCTCTCTAAAATCAATAAATATATATTTTTAAAAATAGTAAGAATTAGTACCTACAATCATAAGACAGAAAGCACTTCTGTGGAAATAACTTCATCTCTTTAACCTCATTTGTTAAACTTCAATCACAGTAACTTGCTATTGAAGAATGAGACCTAAAAAATTTGAAAGCTAAAAAGATGAGAATCTCACATTCAAATAATTACCAGCTCATTCCAATTTTCTATTTTATCCTTTTTATTGCTTGTGGTTTTTGGACAGGACAAACCTTATAGTTCTCTGATTCAGTCTCTAGTGAGAGGTCTTAAAACTGTCCTTATAAGAATTTTGCTAATAATCTCATGTAGAAACCTTGACCATCCCAGGGCTTAACTATCTAGTTGAGTATCCTCACGTCCGTTCCCCCTCAAGGCCCATGTAGTCTTACTTTATAATCCTAACTAGGATGGTGACCAGATTTCCAAGCCAACAGCAGATTGGAAGGGGACAGGATAGCTGGTAATGAGAAAACAGCAGAGAAGATGGAAAACCTTAACAATTCAATAACTATCGAAGTCTGGGGTTTCTAACGAGAAATTCTGAAAACACCAAAGCCTAATCACAGAGACTGAGCCATGTCACCAAAACAAAAAGTCTGTTACAAGAGATTTTTTCTTTCCATTATTTCTGAGATGCAACAGTTTTATATAGGAAAAAAGTAAGAGAAGTACCAGTGGCCGTTTAATTTATTGTCCATTTCTGAGTGGAGTGTGCCATTAAACGGCTTAAACAGAAGTTAGGGGCATTTTGGACCTTCTGCTCTTGTTACACCTCCAGCCTTTCAAGGTCCTATTCGTTCAGTACCGTATTTCAGGACCATTTCGGGATCGCACTGGAAGGCTAGATCTTCAGCTACCAACACATTTATTTCGTCGCTTCCCATGCCCCCACGGCTGGCCCCGTGACTGCCAGGCCTGCGGGAGCTGTGGGAGTACTGGCCAGCCCCTCCGAACCGGGAGTCAGCACCTACATCTCACCAAGACCTCGGGATTCGCGCGCACATGGCAGCGTCCACGCTCTGCAGCTGTCTGACCAGTCAGGAACACGCAGCTGAACTTTTTTTTTTTTAAATCGTGGCCCGAGGATATCTTTCCATTGATTTCTAGAGGAAGTGGAAGGGAGGGGAAGAGAGAGACAGAGAGAGGGAAACATGGGCAGCCCAGCCGGGGCGGGGTAGGAACTGCAACCGAGGTAAGTGCCCTCGACCAGGAGTGTCAACGCGCAAGCTTAGGTCCCCGGGCCATGCTGTAACCGTTGGCCCACCGGCCAGGGCTAACCTTTTTTTTTTCTTTCTTTTTTTTTGCGTAAATGAGACTTAGGAAGATGGCTCATAACTTTGATAGCACTTTTTAGGGAGCTACTACTGCGCAAAAGGTTAAGAATCACTGCATGCCGAAACCGGTTTGGCTCAGTGGATAGAGCGTCGGCCTGCGGACTGAAGGGTCCCAGGTTCGATTCCGGTCAAGGGCATGTACCTGGGTTGCGGGCACATCCCCGGTGGGAGATGTGCAGGAGGCAGCTAATCGATGTTTCTCTCTCATCGATGTTTCTAACTCTCTATCTCTCTCCCTTCCTCTCTGTAAAAAATCAATAAAATATATTTTTTAAAAAAAGAATCACTGCATTATTATGCCAAACACCAAGACCTCAACTCCTACCGATTAGTTCAAGGCCCCAACCCCATCGCAGCTCGGAGAAGCCGCCTCTCCCACCCCAAGCCCACGGCAGGTCCGCCCGCTACCCGGCCCCGCCCGCACGCCGCCCGTGGTTCTTAGGAAGACCTCGACCTCCCAGTCCTTTCTACCCTCGCCCGCCTCCTGCTCCTCTGCGGCCAGCTCCATCCCCCCAATCCCCAACCCTCCGGGTTCCCGTCGCGCCCCTAGGAAGGGGAGCTCCCAGGGCTGCAATCTCGGCCGGTTCCCAGGTCTTCAGCCCCGCTGACCCTCCCAATCTTCTCCTTGGAACTAGATATGCGCGCAACTAAACGACAGCCGAGTAAACATTCAAAAACCCCACCAAACTGTGTTCACTGTGTTCCCGACGCGCCGTACCTGAGGTCCGCGACGGGAGCCTGTGAAGAGCCGCACACGAGGCGCTCGGTGACCGAGGTGACGCAAGGCCGGACCGCGAGCTGAGGACGTCACCGCATCAGCCAATCAGCGCGTGACGGGGGGCACAAGGCAACAAACTCAACGCCGATTGGATGCTCTGGGCTCTAGGGTCAGGCCCCGCGGTGCGTGCTGGGAAGACAGCGCGGCGATTCCGGAGGGCAGTGGTTGTGATCGTCATGCAGTGGAGGCTCTAGGGCTGCATCCAGCCTGGTAGATGTCACTCAGGTGTTCGCGGTTGTCAGTGCTCACCTCCCCGCGCAGGGGACCAGTCTCGTCCCCCGGCAGTGGCCGCGGTCATTGTACTGGGGGGCTGTGAGCACCAATCCCCAAAGCAGCCTGGGCTCTAGGGCTGTTTTTCAGCCTAGTGCAGACCTTCACCAAATTACCCAGGAGCTGGCAAAAATGCAGAAGCCCAGAATACGGACAGGCCTGCTGAAACTGTCTCTGGAGGTGGCTCACAAAAAGCAGCATTTCTGCCCTGTCTGGGCACTTAGTTGATTAGAGTCTCATCCCCATAAACCAACAGTACAGGTTCCATCCCTGGTCAGGGCACAGACAAGAATCCACCAATTAATGCAGAGACAAGTGGAATAATAAGTAAATGTTTCTCTCTATAAAATGAATAATTAAAAAAATTGACCTTTAAACAAAGCTGCACTTTAACAGGCACCAGGACAATTCTGATGCACACTGCAATTCCTGACGGCCGATCTGAGGAGACCCTGCTGTTTCTCAGAAAAAGGTGGAGGCCACTATGCCATGTCTGAAAGGAGCCGGAGAGGGTGGTCAGTGGTGTTCCAGGGAAGCTTCCCCTTTTGTGTCCTTCAGTGCCACCTCCAGAGTATTAAGTTTGATCAAATAATTGAATGGATACTCCCTCCCCTGGCAACTGACCTTTACACCAACATTCCCTTTTGCTCAGCACTTGCTAAGATGATTATCTTTCCCCTTAGGACCTGACCAGAGAATTTTCTGCCCAGAAAAAGCCCACCTAGAGTCCTTTAAAACCTCAGACTCCCTGCCCCTGGGGGCTGGCACCATATTGGGGCTGGCATCATTTTGGGTCTGGCACCATTTTGGGGCTCAGCCCATCTGGTTTCCCAGATGACCAAATTCATAATTCTTTACCCCTTTTGGCCTCATGTGTTCCTCCTTCAGTGACCCTAACATTTGGTGCCAAAACCTGGGAGGGATCCATGGGGAAGGGGAGCCATCGCCCCAGTTTTAATCACCCTGAGTTTGCTACTTGGAGAGCAATAGGCAGTGGCAGCTTGACCTGGGCTTACCTCCAAATCCTACTTGGGTGACATGAATAGGCCTTCCTCCCTTACAGGCCCTCCCAACCAGCCAAGGAGGGTGCCAGATTGGAGACCACTCCTTCCCATTGCTGACCCCCCACTCAACCCCAGTTCGTTTCATCTCCGGGAGGTGACAATTGGATCACCCCTCCGTATTTTTGATTTGTTGTCATCTCAGACAAAAGGCCTAGCACTAGGCCAGAAATCCTCTTCAGTTTGGCTTCGGCCCTGGGACCAGGTTCCACAGTCTTCCTTGTCACAAGGGATGCCTGCCACATGGATTAGACTGTCCTCCTCTCTCCAGAACCTGACTAGATGGTGGGGATGCCCTCCCTCTAGTCTTGCTCCCCAGGTCTCCCTTTGTTGCTTACCTCCTCTTCGTAATTTACACCACCAGGAATTTTTTTCCATCCCCCCAAAAACACTCCTCTGGCATGTCTCCTCCATATCTGAACACACTCAGCCTTTCCATGGAGGTCCGGACAAAGCACCGTATCCACAAGATAAATTAGACAATGATTCACACTGTCCCAAGATTTTTAACCTTCTCCAGGACTTAATTTCTGTCACTGAAATGGGAAGTTGTCGGAGATCCCCTATACCCAGGCCTTCTTTACACTCTGCAATTACCCTTCTCTCTCCTCCTTACCAAGCCCCACTCTTGTTCCCAGATAACCTAGCCTCCAGCCCCCCATCCTGCCCTTCTGAGAGGTGGCCAGGGCCGAGAGTTTGGCCAGGTACACATCTCATTTTCCATGTCTAACCTCACACAGATTGAGAGGCATCTCAGTTATTTTTCCACCGACCCCACTACCTTTACTAAGGAATTTGAGTACCTGACTCAGTACATGACCTCATCTGGCATGACATCTGTGTCTTCCTGTCCTCCTCTCTCACCCCAGAAGAGAAGGAGCATGTCTGGCTAGCAGCTCATGGCCATGCCGATGCCCTTCATAGAGAGGATGCTGACATGGTCCCCCAAACTGACCCCCGAGATTGGCCTATCAGGTTAATTCTCCAGGGCACTGCCTCCACAGCCATATAATTACCTGCCTCATTGCCAGACTCAAAAAGGACCCCACCTCCCCAGAGGGAATCCTTCTGGTGAACACTCATTTTATATCCCAATAAGCCCCCAACATATGCCGCAAATTTCAAACATAGACACAGGTTCACAAACCCTTAAAAAGACCCTGTTATCCTGGCCTTAAATGTCTTTAATAATAGAGACGAGGAGACCCAAATCCAAAAACAAAGGCAAGATCAGGCCAAGGCTAAAGCCCAAAAGAAGGCCTCAGAGAATGTTTGTGAAAGTTGTAAGAAGGTCTGTGAAAGTTATAGGTTTGTAGAGAGAAATGTTAAAAGGAAGTTATATAAATGACACAGGCCAGTGAGCCAGGACAAGCAAAATAGGGAAACTGAGATAGTAAAAAGCAGTTGCAACCATCTAGAAAATCCAGATGCCAAGCAGTCCGCAGCCATCTAGTAAATCTATGGTCCTAAACCAAGGATAATTGAAACTAAGAGAAACGACCTCTTTGGTATAGTAGACTACAACCATCCAAACTAATTTTTCTTTCCTCCCACCAGACCATAATTCTTGTTCTTCTAGCTTTTGCCTCAATAATACTAAAATTTATAAAACGGTTTGTCTCTACCAGGTTAGGCAGCTTAGGCCCCTGATCTTTTCCTCCCTAAAGACAACATCTAGGTCTCAGTTGTATTTCAGCTCCAGGCCCAGAAAAGCAGCAAAACCAGACAAGTGACGCTGTGGCAGCCTCGGGACCAGCTTTTACCTCCCAGTCACTCAACAGGACACTCCCCAGCCGTCACCAGCCAGTCTCGTGGGGAAATTATGCTGCTGCACCCCCTCATCCAGTTGACTACCATCAAAGTCCAAACCCTGCCCTAGCCAGTTTGGCTTGGTGGGTAGAGTGTCGGCCTGTGGACTGAAGAGTCTGAGGTTAGATTCCAGTGAAGGGCACATGCCCAGGTTGCAGGCTCGTTTCCCAGTAGGGGCTTGCAGGAGGCAGCCAATCAGTGATTCTCTCTCACCTTTGAGGTTTCTCTCTCTTTCTCCCTTCCTCTCTGAAATCAATAAAACTATATTTTAAACAAGTACATTCCCCTGTGATCTTGACATCCCCACTCACCAGGAATTATGAAAAGATATGACTTTCATCCCTATTCCATAAAACAAAAAAGCTGGAATGTTAGATTTGATCAAATAATTGAATGGATACCCCTACCCTGGCAACTGAACTTTACACCACTTCATAACCAACATTCCCTTTGCTCAGCACTTGCTAAGACCACAATCCACTTGCTAAGACCATTATCTTTCTCCTTAGGACTTGGATAGAGAATTCTCTTCTCAGAAAAAGCCACCTAGAGTCCTTTAAAACCTCCCCCGCCCTGTTCCTGGGTGCTGGCGCTATTTTGGGGCTCAGCCATTTGGTTTCCAGATGACCTAATATATTCATAATTCTTTACCCCTTTGGCCTTAGGCGTTCCTCCTTTAGCGACCCTAACACAGAGTTCTGGATTTTACTGCATAAATTATGGTAAATGGCCATATGGAGAGAGAAAAAGAAATATCTGCTAACCAGCCTTAAAAACTTTACCGGTTATGAAAAGAAAATTATTTGCTTATTTATCTGCTCACTTACTTGCTGTTTGTGCTGCATGTCTCCAGCACCTTTAGATCTGCTGGTTTGGATTTCGGGCTCATCCCCCAATAGTGGGCGTGCAGGAGGCAGCCAATCAATGATTCTCATCTTTGATTTTTCTCTCTCCCCTTCTCTAAAATCAATAAAACATACATTTTAAAAAAATAGGAGAGAATCTGGAGCCATGCAAAGGTTAGTAGACCTCAGGCTTTGGCACCAGAGACTATAGAGGAAACTCTAGGCCTTGACAAATTGAGAATAATTTTGCATGTAACTGCTTACTGTACCCATTAACAGTGACAAAAAAAAAAAACAACTAATTGATCTGGCCAAGAATATGTAGAAAGCACAACATTAAGTTTAAGAACATTTTTTTAAAAAATATATTTTATTGATTTTTTAAAGTGAGGAAGGGAGAGGAATAGAGAGCCAGAAACATCGATGAGAGAGAAACATCGATCAACTGCCTCCTGCACACTCCCTACTGGGTATGTGCCCGCAACCAAGGTACATGCCCTTGACAGGAATTGAACCTGGGACCCTTGAGTCTGCAGGCTGATGCTCTATCCACTGAGCCAAACCGGTCAGGGCTAAGAACATTTTGATAATCTGTGTAACATTCATTCAACAGTCAACTAGGGTTTAAGAAAACTCTACAAAGTATCAGGGATTAGAGTAAGGCAGGATTCATGTCCTTACTCAAAGGGGTAAATTGCGACTCAATAACTTAACTTGCTTGAAAACACACACTTTTAGTAGTTGTGTGTCTTCAGCTTATTAACCAGAAGTACTTGGAGTGTATTTTAAGTCTTTGCATTCCTTAAGTTGCTATCTTGCCCAGTTCATTTTTATCATCCGTCTGCACAGTCCAGCTTAGAACAGGGCAGAAGGCTCTCAGACTGATGAGACCAGGGAAAAAGGGGCAGGAGGATGAGTCTGATTACTTAAAAATTTGCCGGGAGCCAGTCCATCCTTGCTGTTTCAAGGGACCTGGCATATATGGCATACTGTTCTTAATATGTTTGCTCACTTTCTTGGCGCTGTGTTTTAAC